GAACTGCTCACCCATTCTTGCACGTGCTTCCTCCATCTTCCAGCCAACAATGGCAGGCAAGTGGAATCCTCTGCTTTCACCTGTGCCCCAGCCTGAGAAAACTTTCCATTCTTAACAGTCTCCTGTGACTAGATTAGGCTCCCCAGGAAAATCTCCCTATTGTTTTACTCAAAGCCAACCGATTAGTTACCTTAACCACACATGAAAAATCCGCATGCCCCGCTTTTTGTTGTTAATGTAACATAACCAGAGCATGGAATCTTATCATATTCACAGTCCCAGGAATTAGGGTGAGAAATTTGGGAGGTACATTTTAGGATTCTGTCTACTACACCTGGTTTCTGCTTCCAAAGCTACAAACCAGGTAATTCAATATTTTATGGTGGAGGATGAATGAGGGCATGGAAAGAGGCCAGGAGTTTTACGCTGAGCAATGTCACTCCACAAAGAAACCCGAAGCCAGGAAAGGGGTGGTTTCACACCTCCCTCTCACCGACCCCTCCCTGCATATATTCAAATAGCTAAAACACATTGTCAATTATACTTCAAGGGTCATGAAGGAGACATGGAGACCATGGTGAAGCGTGTGGTTGGCCCTTGAGAGGGAATTTCCCCTGAGGCAGAGGGATCTGACCCTCCTTCAAGTGAAGACAGGGAGGGTGGCCCTTCATCCTGCAGGAATGTGCTCAAGAGATTACACTGAATTCAAGATGTGTAGGAGAACATAGCTGGCAGAAATGTGGTGTAGGGGATTAATCTGGAAGTACTGTATAAAATGAGCAGGAACCACTTTTTAGGAGATCTTTGAAAGAAATCTGGTGTGAGGTCATGAGAACTTGATCCAGGATGATGTCAATACGGATGGAAAAGGGGGATAAATTATAACAAGCAAAAATCCAAAAAGAAAAGTTGGCAACAGATTGGATGAGGTCAAAGACAAACCCGGGGATCCATGTCTGGAAACTGGAAGGATAATGGTGCGATGGAGAAAACAAGAGGAAGAGCTAGTTTGAGGTGGGAGCTAATGGCTGGTCTTCAGTAAAATGCACATGACGGATGTTAATTTTCTCGTTTCTTCCATCACGCACATACACGCGCACACACCTCTACATTGCTCTTTCCCTCCTCCTGCTACCCACCAGTTTTCCTTTCTCTTCCAACAAGCTCCTGCCCCGCTTCCTTACATCCCATTCACTTTCCCATTTTCTGCTGTTTCTGCTGCTACTGCTTCACAGAATCTCTCTGGCGAAGGTTACCATGACTCTCTCCATAGACAAATCCAATGTAATCTTTTCAGTCCCCTCTTCGGCCTTCAGGACATGGCTTTCCTCTCAAAGCTCCCATTTCCCTTTGGTTTCAAAGACCCTGTTCTTTCCTCTTTCTCTTCCTGGCTCAGCCTCCTGGCTCATTCCCTCCTCTCTGCTCATCCCTGGAACACTGATGATTCCAGACCCTGCTAATGCTCTCTTCTCACTGGACACGTTCTCTGGACAGTCTGAGCTACCACAGATATTCTAAGAATGCTCAATTCAATATTTCTACACGAGACTGCTCCTTGACTCCCCTGACTTCCTGACTGTATTCCACCAGCACTTCTGATTCTGTTCTGTACATGCTAAGCTGAATCCTGATGTCTGTCTCCAAACCCAGCCTCTTCCTGGTCTTCTCTACTGCTGCTACTGGCCAGAAATTGGGGAGACTCCTCCACTGCATCACCTAAGTCTCCCCTTCCATCTTCGTTGCTTCCATCTTCATTCAGATCTTCATGATTCCTTGTCTGACCACTGCAGTAACTCTCCTGCACCCCATCTCTGCCCTCTCCAATTCAGCAACCCACCTTTGACAGATTTATTTTTCTAAAATATGTATTAATTATATTATTTCCCAGTTTCCAATGCTTTGATAGAACCCATTGCCCTCAGGTTGAAGTTCAAATTTCTTCAGGTTGTATAAACTGCCTATGACTTTTCTATGTCCATGTCCATGTCATTTGTAGCTGCCACATGCCACCCCCAAACTGACCTCAAATCTCTGCTCCAACTATACTGAAACTGGCACGCAGATCTGTTTCACAAACTCACACCTTTGCTTCTGATGCTCCTTCTGCCTGGAGCACCTTGTCCTCACCCCATCCTTATCTGACTGCACCCTTCCTCTATCTGTCCGAACCATCTACAAATCTACCAACCTCCAAGAGTCAAGTTGAATATCATTTCTACTACAAAAGAAGTCTTTCCTGAGCCCACAAGGTGGTGCTGGCCCCTCTTCCTCCTGAGTCCCCTCCCACCAGCTCCCTGGACACCTGTGTTTATCAGCAGTCCTGACACTCCTTTGCTCTCATCTATTTGTCTTTTGTCACCAACAAGCCTAGCAGTCTACCTGTTACATAAGAAGCACTAGAGGAATGCTGAAGGCAGGAAAATCAAATACTTCATATCTAGAAAAGTCTTAAAGCTGCCACTTTGAATGAGTAGAGGTAGGAAAAGACTAGTAATCCATTTATTTTTATTAAGAATTTAAAAGCCTCTCAGCCAAATGGACCTTGACCTGCTCCTCAAACTCTGTGGATGACCAGAAATAACTTTGGAATGTGACCCCTAAATATTTCAGATTTGCATGGTGAAGAATTTCAGAGATATTTTCTGGAGACCATGACACAGGGGAGGATAAAAGCAAAAGATGAGATCAGAGTTAAATTTTGGAACTCTTCATAGTATACCCATAGAAACACATAGTGATGGTAAAAAAGAAACATAGCTTACCATGCATGTGGACCCATATGTGGGTCCGTGTGTGCGTGTGTTCGTGTGTGTGTGTTTAGATCAAGAGCAAAGTGACCTTGGGCAAGTTTCCTAAGCTCTCCAAGCATGAGGTTCCTCATCTGCAAAATGGGCGTGGTAATGGTGTTGTCGAAAGGATTAAATCAAGCAAGGATATAAAAGCACACTAGGTACTGCCTGGCATTTAACAGCATTCAGTGATGGGGTGGAGGAGAGAGCACTGGAATGAACTAGCCAGATTCAGCTTTCACTGTCATGGACACACACGACCTCTCCTTGCTTATAGTTCAGATTCTAGCACCTTTAACAGCTCCTGGGGCAAATCCCTTCCAATCTCCACAGGTGCTACCTCACCTGCACACCTGCCCCTTCCCCCCGCCCCCTCTCCCTGCAGTCTAACCATGTTTGCTGTGTTCTCAAGGTTACTGATACAAAACAAACTAAGAAAGTTTTTTAACAGACTACATGCATACCTTTCCAAATCCACTCACTTCTGCCTTTGTTTCTAGGAAAAAAAAAAAAAAATCTTGGCTTTTCCCTCAAAATCACTGAAATATTAGGTGTGTAAATGAACCCTTGCCTTCCTGCTCAGCGACTCCAATTTCTCAGCCTCAGACTCAGAAAAGCTTCTCGGGGTCTCACAAGACAATTCCTAGGGTTCTTGGTTCCAGTGGGTCTCTTTAGTATAAACTCTGCTGTCTGGTCTATCTTACTGTTGTGAATCCCGCCACCCCCAACCCATGCCTGTTAAAACTGAGTTCACCTAACTTCAGGATACATTTTTCATTTCTTACCTTATCATTCATAATGAGTGCAAATGATCCTTTCCCTACCCTGTTCTTTAAAAAAATTATCATAAAGTCATTTTATGTACTTGTAAACCACGTTTATTTCTTTTTTTATTTTTATTTTTATTTTAGGATGCTCCTTTGAAACTATACATATTTAATTCCTTTAATCTTTCTTCATAGGGTAGTCCTTCAGAACCCCATATTATTTTAGTTGCTCTTTTTGCTTTGGCAAAAATAGAAGACTAAGGAGCTGCAAATCTTGTTCTCCTGCCTATTTAAACGGCGTCTAGAAATCTGAAATAATTACCTCCTTTCTTATTTCTAAAATGTTTTAAGCCATATTATACTAATATTGTCTAGTGGAGTTGAAAGCTTTAGGTCTGCAGTCTTTGAAATGCTCAAATCCTAAGGCTTTGAAAAAATAATATTTCCTCCTTGTTACTCAGTGCTGACCATTATCAATATGCAAGACTGACAGAGTAATTTCAAATTCACAACATTATACACAGATATTCAAGGGAAAGAGAAACAGCTTCATATGACTTTGCTTAATGAGTTTACCTGTAGCTGTACATGCAGCAGTATACAGTAAGTGACTCATATTTGGGAATGATTATAAGATAATTATTTTCAATATTAATTGATATCAATTGTTATATTAAGAATTAGAGGTTTCAACAAAAACCATCTGCCCTTCTAGCAAAGGGGTGGAAAGGAAAGTAAACAAGGGAGACTATTTTTAAAATGTCCCTATCATTGAAAATAAATGATCATAATGTTTAACTTCCAACTTGCTTCTTTTGGAATTTCTATTTCAAATTGTTTGTTTTCATCACTTCAAAGTATATTCGTATTTTTTTCCTTGCATTTAACCTCTGCTATATTTTGAATTATTTTAAAATATTTTAAAATTAGATTTTTTAAAACTTTTGCATTAAGTTAGGGTTTGGTTTTAATTTTACCTTGAATTCTCATTCATTTTTACACCTTCCAAATGTATGAGTATTTTTAATCATCATTAAATAAATTACATTTGTGTCACATATAGAGCTTAAAAGAGGTGATTCTATGACATAAAAATTCAGTATTTGCTAGCAATGGCAAACACTGGTTGAAGGCACATAAAACCATGTGCATATGTCACAGTTCATTTTTTATTTGATGATTTATTGTTTTGTTTTTGTGCCAAATATGCTGGATATATTTGAACAATATGATATAAAATCTTCAGTGCTGAAAAGTATAAGAAGCAATGAGAAAAAAAAAAAAAAAAAAAAAAGAGAGAGAGAGAGAAAGAGAAGGGAATTTAGTTTTTAAACTTGCATTTATTGCAATTAGAGTGAAAATTCATCAACTATCAGCAAATTTGGTGTTTGCTGTCAGTATATTCATGTGATGATTTTTATTTTCCTACTTTCTATTACTTCAGAATGCATACACGGAATGAATCCTTCTAGAGATGTTAATGGTATATTAGATTCTAAATTATATTTTTATAAAATATGCATATTTATATATGCATATATATGATTTTATATCTATGTGTCTCTATGTATAACTTCTGATATAATTTAACCAAATAATTAAGGCTCTTTTTGCTGATTCAAATATACTTAAAAGCAGCTCTCCATATTGTAGATGTCATCCCACATAAAATATTCCAATGAAACCTTAAATGATACCTTCAGTTCTACAGTGTTTCCACCAGGTGCATTCTGCTGTTATTAAATGACTCTATATAACTCTAAAAAAAAATAGAGCTTGGCTTCTATCTGTTGTAACCCAGTTTATTACCTTTGTTATATTAGTGGTAATGCAAAAAACTTATGAGGGTAAAATGTTTACAAAGGGATGCCTAAATTAAAAAAATATTAATTTTAAAAGTCTCTCAGTTTGCTACTTGTGAGGTGCACAATTGATTTATGAAGTTAAAGTGAAATAATCACACTTTAACCACAGCATGCCATGGAAACATTCCTACGGAGGAAGGATGTAGTGGAAGAACTAAGGAATTTCGTCCCCAAAGTAATTAGGTTTCAAAAGTGAAATATCTCAAAGCCACTTCTGAGAAAACAGAAAAAAAGGTTTAATTAAATTCCAGTGTTCAAAACTGGACAGTATGTGTAGCAGGTTATTTTTACATATATGTTACTCTTCAGCAAAACTGTTCTCCACGCTGTAACATTAGTACTAACTGCAGTAATAAAGTGCAGAACCAATAGCAAAACACATTATCTAATTTTTAAAAACTTAAATGGTCATTTAAAATAGAAATAATTCTTTTTATAGAAATAATTCTTTTCGAAATATTACGTTTTTTAAAATGTAATTTTGGACATATCACATTATAAATTAAGGGTAACTTTGATTTAAGAGAATTGTTGAGATTCTAATCCCATTTCTATGCATATTTCATCAAGAGGGTTTTGAAGATCAAAAACGTAAAATATTTAGATATTTTCTGAGACCACCGATAGTTATTTACCTAAAGCTGTAGAAGAAAAATGTCAATGAACTGTCATTGTTTTCCAGTGAAATTGTTATTTTTCTTTTTTCTTCCAAGTAGCCAAATACTTTTTAAATTCACTGTGGAAACTTCCATTCCATTCTTGTCGTGAGCCTTTCTCAATCCTCCTCCGCCCGCCCGCCCTTAAAACAAATTTGGAAGAATCTGTCATACAGCATCCACCCAACATATCCCTTCGTTGTATTTTTTATTTTGTATTATGACAAAAGTAATTTTCACTATTATGCCAGGGGAGCATTAGAAATGGACATGGTAGTGTTTCCTTTCCTTTCTCTCTCAGAGGGGCAAAGTAAGGAAAATTCTGCAATGTCGTTGAAATGAGCGCTCTTGGAGGAAAGGAATTCCTCATTTCGTACACGGTGTCACTGGACTCCGTAAGCTCCGGAAAGAGCCCTTTAGACTAAGGGGTTCCCGGTACCCCTCGGTGGAGCCCCATGCCGCCTGCTCTCCATTCATTTTAGTTACTCAGTAAGGAGGGGCCAGCGGTTTTCTGTTTGTTTCTGGTTTCAGGACTGAGCCGCGCAGCGCAGTGACAGCGCGCGCAGGTTCGGGAAGCCCAATGCCCGGCGTCCCGATCTAGAGGACAAGAGCAAAAGCTTTCGTTGTTATCATCACCATTGCCGGGCTTCGAACTCGGGATTTATACCTGGAACTCTTAGCTGAGTAGCGCCCGCGGTGCTGCCTTTGAAAGCTAAACTTGGTGCGTGTGTTGCTGTAACTAACTTCTCTTACTTGGAGTGGGAACTTGACTGCCGCCCGCGACACCTCAGGAGGGGCCGACCCGCAGTCCCTGGCATGGTTTCGGGTTTTAGGCAAATGGCCTGAGCCCGAGAGGTGCCTTTGACCTTTCCGAGGGCGCCCTACCCGAGTCAGCTATTTCCCCAGAAGTCAGCCCGCTTTGACCTCCGTCACACTGTCGTGCTCCATCCCCGTGCCCAGGGGTCCCTGGGGATGCTCTTGGTGGTGGCCCTAGGAGCCCTCAGTCGGCCTTTAGGGAAATGCATTCGAGTCCAGGCGAAAAGATTTCAATTGCCCCGAACTCGCCTCCAAAGCGGGCAGCGTCAGACCCTGGACCCAGGGAAACGGTGGCCCCGGGCTGGGGAGCCACAGCACGCTGGGAGGCGGGAACGATGCAGAGTTTGGCGTCCCTTGGCCAAGGTGGAGAGTTAGAAAGCGGACGTTTGGGGTCTTTACACTTGAAACGGAGCTCCTTCAAAATGATTTTAAAGGAAAAACACAGAAACATTTCCTTCCCGAGACTCCAAACCCACTAAAGGTAAATGCAGTTGGGTGCTGGCAGGGTCTCGGGTTTTCCAGCGTGAAAGGAGCGAGGGGACGAGCCCACGCCGGGGACAAAAGCGGAAGGCTGGAGGCAGCCGAGGCCGCGGGCCCGGCGAGGGCGTGCCTCTGTCCCGGACGCCCGGAGCATCAGTGGCCCTGGGCAGGCAGATGGCGGTGTCCAGGCAAAGGGCCTTCGGGAAGAGGGCTGGGGCCAGCCCAGACAGCCGAGAGCCCTGGCCCGGGACCCCGGGCCCGCGGGGACTGGACGCGTCCGCTTCCTGCCGTTTTCCCCCAAACCCAAGTTCTTGCAAGGGCGACCCGAAGGCC